GGGTTCCTTAACATCACACCTGATTAAATGTGTTTCTCTCTCCACAGATATTGTTAGATTACTGAGTTTCTCTAGCATTTTCTGTTTTTATTACAGATCTGCAACATCCACAGTCAAATGTTGCCTTCCTTTCAATGACATGTTTGGAGAAAGGCTGTAATAACATCTGGAGTGGAGTGGTCCCAGAGAAACCCAAACTGACAATCAGTGAGCAGGTGATTAAGTAACCTAAATAAGTCATTAATTTAAATGAACAATACTTTGTGTAGTTATCATATCACATTCTGAATTCAATGTAGATGCGAAGAAGATAGTCCATTTTAATTGATTTGGAATAAAATTTTACATCTTGTGCAATAGATGTCAATGTTGAGAAAAGACTATTTCCCACTTTTTGCTTTTTCAGTCTAAGTATTATGTGCTTCTAGACCAGTTACAGAATGAACTAAAAGACCAAAGTTTTCTTTGCATGCCTACAACAATAAAACCAAAACCTTGACCTCAAAACTGCACTTCACCTGCACCGGTAATACAAACACAAAAGTCTGCAAATATTGGTTATCAGAAAAACTGAAAATTCTGCAAATACCCACAGCAACAGCTATGGAGAGAAAAACAGGTGAATGTTTCAGGTCAATGCTATCCAGCTGTAAACTCCCGCACCGCTCTTCTGTTGATGCACAACCGGCTATACATTTTGGCCAGTGCAAGATCACACACATTGAGATTAAGTACACAACACTGACACAGAGTTCAACAATATTATGAGCATAAGAGGAAGATGGGGGTAGAGGATGGTGATGATGCTACTGTCCAACATAAGGACACAGCCTTCATTGTAATACAGCGTGAGATTTGTTTGAGTCACTGTTTTTATGTGGGGAGTCAAGGTATGGCAACAATGAGAATGCTCAACTAATGTTGTCTCTCCAGATGCAAGTCTTGGAACATGAATGTTCAAACAGTGCAAGACCTATACATTGTAAACTAACTGAATTAGATTAATATAAAAGCAGATCTGGCGGAAAATCCTAATGGTACTTAAGTCAGCCACACTTTCTGCAATTCGTGAATTATGGTTACTGAAAAGAGGAGACATGCACTACAGCCTGTGGTTACTGTTAGAAGAATATTTAGTGTTAACTTTCACCTTTGATGCAGAGCTTCACACACTCACTAACTTGCATTTAGATACACCCTTTAGCATAGTAAAACATCCCAAGGCGCTTCACAGGGATGTTATGAAACAAATTTGACACAGCCAAAGAAGGAGATATCCGGTCATCAGTTTAGTCATCAGTTCTACGAGGTGGATTTGAAAGATTGTCTAGAAGTAAGAAATGAGGCTGAGACTGAATGGATTAGCAAAGGAAATCCTCTTGCATGCTGTGCTGCGATTGCTATTCAGGACGCTCAGAGCGTTCCAAATTTTAAAATATATAATTAATTTTCTACTTTACAAAATAAGACCACTTCAGCAATAGGTTTAAGATCTAAAGAATGTTTCACTTCCCAAGATCAACCATTTCTGAACCAACTATATTCAGCAGGCAAACTTACGATGAGTTCCCAGAATCTTTCTTTCTAAAGACCAAGAATATTTCCTCACCCATTTCAACCTCCTCTTTTCCAAGCATGGACTTTTTCCAGGCTTTTCAGTTCCCTATTCCAACTTCTTATCAAGCTAATCTCCTTTAACAGACACACTTCTATGCCACAAACCCCTCCTGACCCAACTTTTTACCAACTACCTCTCCTTAACTTAATGTAATTCACGTCATTAACAACCCCTTTGTACAGACTGTTCCTTTACACTTCAACACATTGCTACACTTTTCAAAGTTCTCCAATTACCATCATTTCCCTGTCGCCCAACTATGTTATTATCCAGCTCTATGTCTTCCTTTCCTACTCAATTGACTTCACTCTGGTGTAGTTCTGTGCACTACACCACGACCACCCTGGTTAGTCAACCAAGACATCATATAGACAGCAACTACAATGTTGTTTTGTCTTTCTCAAGACATCTGTGGCATTCAGTAGTTAAATCAGGATATGCTCCTCAATTATCTTCCAAAGTCAAGAGATCTTCACTCAGTTCAAATCACACCCTCATGTGGTTACCTTGGGAGTGCCCAAAGTTCCCAGTCTCAGCCCCAGCTTCACATACCAACAAAGTTCCCCTTGCCAGCATCAACTGTAAGTAAATATCCATGTCCCAACTGAACCATACCAAGCAACTTGACACTGAATGACAGAAGAGAAGCAAATATGTCAGAACACCAAGACTTTTGTGTCCTAACCAATTTATATTTTTCACCCAGAATTGAAGTTGGGAGGTCATATTGAGGCTGTACAGGACATTGTTTAGGCCAGTTTTGGAATATTACATTCAATTCTGGTATAGGAACGATGTTGTGAAACTTGAAAGGGTTCAGAAAGAATATACAAGGATGTTGCCAGATGCGGAGGGTTTGAGCTGTAGGGAGAGACTCAATAGGCTGGGGCTTTTTCGCCTGGAGTGTCGGAGGCTAAGAGATGACTTTATAGAGGTTTATAAAATCATGAGGGGCTTGGTCAATGTAAACAGCCAAGGTCTTTTCCCAGGGTGGGGGAGTCCGGAACTACAGGGCATAGTTTTAAGGTAAGGGGGAAAGATTTGAAAGGGACCTAATGGGCAACTTTTTTGCAGAAGGTGGTGCCATGTATGGAATGAGCTGCCAGAGGAAGTGATGGAGGCTGGTACGATTACAACATTCAAAAGACACCTGGATGGGTACATGAATAGGAAGGGTTTAGAGGGATTTGGGCCAAATGCTGGCAAATTGGACTAGATTAATTTAGGATAGCTGGTCGGCTTGGACAAGTCGGACCGAAGGGTCTGTTTCCATGCTATACGTCTCTATGACACTATAACTGCTCAGAGGACCACAGAGCCACGAATAATATGTAGATGCATGTCTATTCCTGTTTGTTCACCCCAGCGGAGCGGGAGGGTGTGAAATCTCAGTGTTGTAGCCAGTGAAGCTACTTGCTCTGCTGAAACATTGCTCATTCCTCACCTCCACAAACACTGAAACCCATCCCACTCTTCTCCAAACTGCCTCGGCATTCTTCATACAGTTAGGTTAGAAACCTTAATTTTATCCCACCTTACGTTCCGACTTCAATCATCCCTGTCCTTCCACTTGGTTTCTTAATACGCTGCATTCAAAACCTACACTGTTAAGTCCTTCCAAAACTTCGATATTCCTCCATTCCGGAAACTCCTACAACCTTACATGCATGCAGACATCCCTCACTTTTCAGACTCTGGTCTGAATTGCATGTGCTCTGATCTACCCTGGGCTTGCAGAGATTTCAGATGTTTTGATTATTCTGAAATGTTTTCCCTAAACGCCACGTCTCAGCCTGGTTATCTCCTGGCCCATTATCAAAATGCTCCTTTAAGGTCTTCATTGTCGTTCTTTTTCGCTTTTATCTTTGATTCAGTTTGGGATAGTTTCTTTCTCCTGTTAAAAGGCAGTACGAAGATGCAACCCTTGTGAAAATGTATCAATTCCAATTACGCCAGAAACAGGACGACACTCAACGACATGTGGCTCCACAGCTAATATATATTCATTTAATTTTAAAAAATTGCATGTACTTCATGGAATAAATAGAATATATTGGGTTTGTCGATGATGAGCTGCTGAAGCGAAAGATATTTGCTGATGACATTCTGAGATTCAGTTTTAAAGGCATGCTATTAGTCAGAGGGTCATTCATTCCAAAGGAAAGAGAAAGAACATTCAGTCGTTTTTTTTGGATTTCGTTTGGGTTCCCTGCCCCCATGTGTAGCCCGTTGCACGGCGGCGGGGGTTGGGGGGGTTGGTGACTGAGGCTCCGGGATTTCTGTGCACCATAGTAACCAGGGCCCGGCAGTAAGGGAGGAGCCGGAGAGGTGCAGCCAATGGTACCGTGAAGCACGCAGCCCTCGCCACCCCCACCCCCACCCCAAACACATTCTCAAAGTTTGTACACCAAACTTGGGATCACCCGAACAATCGCTGCATTGTACTGGGCAAAAAGTCCGAGTAATTAAAACGAAGATTCCAACAACCGCAAAACTGTTTCTTTTAGAAAAACCTATCACATTTGCTCAGAAAACAACCTGCTTCTGCACTTTGGTTAAAGGACCGGCAGTCGAATGGGTAATAAAGCTCTGATTCCTTTCACTGGAGACAACTCGGGCTGTAATGTAACGCTGGCAGATTGTGATCGGATTCCCTGGAGAAGGGAACGGAGCCGACAACACTGCCCTAAATATCAGTGATCCCTGAAACTACCGCTGACCGAGTAGACACACACACACTGCTCAATCCAAACAACCCTCGTTCCCTTTTAAGTCAGCACAGTGTGGGGCTGGAGGAACACAACAGGTCGGGCAGCATTAGGGGAGCAGGACAATCGACGTTTCGGGTCGGGACCCTTCTTCAGAATCCTTCACTTTATAGATTCCAAACAGGATTGCCCTAAATTGAAATCTTTGGAATCAGCAATAAAAGAAAAGGGGGATGGGCTGGCATAAACCAGAGAGTTACAGAGATAGTAGGAACTGCAGATGCAGAGCGGTGAAGCAGCGCGGTGGCCATGGGGATGACCCCCCGGGTGAAAGGGCGGTTATTATGTTGTTCCCGGTGGAGAGGGCACACATGACCTTTCTGCACCAGCCGCTGTTTCTCAACTTCATTGAGAACAGGTAGCGCGCCTGCAGCGAGTTCGTGAACATTTCGCAAAAATGCCAAAAGTTCGCTCAAGCCGTTTTGGAATCACTCCAGCCGAAGTGTGCGAGAGATCTCCTGCGTTAAACCGTAACAACACAGAAAGAGAGATAAAAGGTGTAGGGCTGGATGCACACAGCACCCTAAACAACAGAGGAACTTTCTCTACCGTTCTTCCACTTTGACAATAGCGCCTTCTTCACTTAAGAATAAATCAAATCTACAAATACTTACATTTTTTGATCTCTTGGCGTGAGCTGCCTGTGCATAGCAAGAGAAAACCCAAACAAGCTTGACGGCTTTCCGGTTTTCTTAATAAAATTTTCAGTATCCAAGTTAAAAGCTAAAGTCCATTTGTTGAGGGAAAACAAGGACAGGTAGATAAGAAGCCATTGCTCCGGGGCCGCCATATCGGAAATGCCTCCTGATTTCTCGGAAAGTGCTTGCTAATGTTTTGTCTGATCTCGGGCTGTTATTTCTGAGTGGCTGCCTTGTGTTTAAAATGAGATTATAAAGTGACGGTGAACGCCTGGCCTCGCCTCACTCTGCCCCTCCCAGCCACCATCAGCAGCTCGCCGCAAGTAACCTGACCCCAGCCTGGAGCGTTCGTCTCTTCACCCCACCCCACCCCAGTTCAACCTCGGTCTCTGCCATCTACTGCAGGCGCTGCTCAAACTTGTCTAACTTCAGCAAAAACACGAGCTCTCAAACGCCCTGCTTTACAGGTATTTCAAAAACACGAACCAGCAGTCCAGTCTGCCAGTTATCATAGAGGTCATGCCTTTGGAAGTTTTAACTGTTTTACTTTGCAATTTTCATGGAGGCAACTTCCGTCAGTATTATTGTGGAAATAATTGGATTATTATTGACTACTTTATAGTAATGTATACAAGTCTGTGACCTGCCCATCTAATTGTTGCAAACAGAATACTAAACGCATTCATGCACAAGCAATGAATATTCATTGGAACTTTTCAAGTACAGCCACAATAGGTGGGTAATAGAACAGATGTGGGGGAGGGGCGAGATACAAATGGGAAAGGCCAGGCAGCATCAGAGGAGCAGGAAAGTTGACGTTTCGGGTCGGGACCGTTCTTCAGAATATTTTCTTCAATTTTCTGAAGAAGGGTCCCGACCCTAAACGTCAACTTTCCTGCTCCTCTGATGCTGCCTGGCCTGCTGTGGTCGTCAACCTCCACACTGTTGTCTGTGACTCCATATATCTGCAGTTCTTGCTATCTCATATGAAAACGAAATACTTTTTTTTATTTCGCAACCTCAGAACTTTAAAGTTTGATACAACGACCTTGCATTGAAGTGTACTCCTTGTAATGTAGGAAATGTTGCAGTCAATTTCGATACAGCAAGCTCCCGCGGAGAGTAATGGCAAGATAATCCTTTTGTAATGTTGACTCCAGGACAATATATAGCCAGGAAAGGAACGATGAATACCCCGCTCTTCTATGAAATAGTGTCAAGGATCTTTTACATTCAATTTAGAAAGCCAGCTAGGTTTTGTTTTAATGTCTCATCCAAAAGTTAGCACCTGTTTCAGTCAACACTGATCCATTAATGTACTGAGTTCCAAACCCAGATTCTGAGCTTAAATCTCCAGACTGAGACCTGAAATCTCAATCTTGTAACTTTGGTGAAATTTTCATCCATCCAGTCACCCATAATAGATTGAGCTGCACCAAACAAAATAATTATGCCTTGATATTTTCCTGCTTGGTTTTTGGACTCTACCTAGAATGGTTTGATCTGTCGCATTTAGTGGTGGCCCACTGTTTCCAATTTAAATTCTCAAAAACGATATTTGATATATGACGAATATGTGCACCGTGTAGAGGCTGGTCCTTGGATTATTGTCTGCTGATGTTTTATCCAGAGTTGTTTCTTTGGCAGTTTTTCAAGTGGTAATTTGCTATTGTCTTCCACTGTCAGGGCAGGGCAAGGCGGCAGATCCAGCACTACCTCAACCAGAACAGGAATCGATGAAGAGAGATAACAAAGTGTAGAGCTGGGTGAACACAGCAGGCCAAACAGCATCAGAGGAGCAGGAAGGCTGACGTTTCGGGCCTAGACCCTTCTTCAGAAATGGGGGAGGGGAAGGGGATTATGAAATAAATAGGGAGAGAGGGGGAGGCGGACAGAAGATGGATAAAGGAGAAGAGAGGTGGAGAGGACACACAGGTCAGAGAGGCAGGGGTGGAGCCAGTAAAGGTGAGTGTAGGTGGGGAGTTAGGGAGCCGATAGGTCAGTCCAGGGAGGACGGACAGGTCAAGGGGGCAGGATGAGGTTAGTAGGTAGGAGATGGGGGTGGGGCTTGAGGTGGGAGGAGGGGATAGGTGGGAGGAAGGACAGGTTAGGGAGGCAGGGACAAGCTGGGCTGGTTTTGGGATGCGGTTGGGGGAGGGGAGATTTTGAAGCTTGTGAAGTCCACATTGATACCATTCAGCTGCAGGGTTCCCAAGCGAAATATGAGGTGCTGTTCCTGCAACCTTCGGGTGGCATCGTTGTGGCACTGCAGGAGGCCAAGGATGGACATGTTGTCTAAGGAATGGGAGGAGGCGTTGAAATGGTTCGCGACTGGGAGGTGCAGTTGTTTAGTGCGAACCGAGCGTAGGTGTTCCGCAATGCGTTCCCCAAGCCTCCGCTTGGTTTCCCCGATGTAGAGGAGGCCACATCTGGAACAGCAGAAACAGTATACCACATTAGCAGATGTGCAGGTGAACATCAGCTTGATGTGGAAGGTCTTTTTGGGGCCTGGGTTGGAGGTGAGGGGGTGGTGTAGGGGTAGGTGTAGCACTTCCTGCAGTTGCAGGGAAAAGTGTCGGGTGTGGTGGGTCTGGAGCGGAGTGTGGAGCGGACGAGGGAGTCACAGAGAGAGTGGTCCCTCCGGAAAGCAGATAAGGGTGGGGAAGGAAAAATGTCTTTGGTGGTGGGGTCGGATTGCAGATGGCGAAAGTGTCGGAGGATGATGCGTTGGATCAATGAACACTAGCACCTCGACAACTGAGTTAGTCAGTCCCTGTGTTAAAAATATAAATATTAGTGATGTGAGAGGTGGTGGAGTGAAAATGTCACTCGGCGAGTAATCCAGGACCCCCGGCTAATGTTCTGAGGACATGAGTTTGAATGTCACCTAAGCAGATTGTGAAATTTGAATTGAATAAAGTTTGGAACTAGGAAATTGACTTAATGGCAATCACATAACCAATGTTGTAAAAATCCATCTGGTTCAATAATGTCCTTTAGGGAATGAAATCTACCATCCGTACATTGGCCTTTTTAAAAGTTCATTCACGGGATGTGGGTGTCACTGATTAGGCCAACTGTTACTGCCCTCTGAAATAGCCTCCCACGACACTCAGTTGTATCAAATCACTAAAAAGTCGAAAGAAACAAATGAAATCAGATACACCACCTGATTTTGTGCTAGGCACCAGAAATGACATCAGCAAACACGGCAGTGTCAACCTTGCAAAGTCCTCTTTAATAACATCTGGGAGCTCATGCTAAAATTTGGACAATTGTCCCATGGACAAGCAACAGTCTGACATAGTCTCACCCACACAATTATATTTTGCAGATAATGTCCCAAACACCACCATCACAATCTCTGACCCATCTCATGTGGCAGCACTGTGGTACACAGTTGGGAAGGAGTAACCCTGGGAGTCCTCAACATTCATTGTAGACTTTATGAAATCTCTTGGCATTAGTTCAAAGATGGGCAAGGAAACCTACTGCTCACTAGCACCTACCTCCCCATACGCCCTCTACCGAGGCAACTGAATCAGTACTCCTCCATATAGAATGAAACACTGAGAGTAACAAAAGTACAGAATGTACTTTGTGTGGGGAATGTCAATGTTCATCGCCAAGAGTGGCTCAGTAGTATCATTAAGCAGACTGTGTCCTAAAGGACATAGCTGCTAGCCTGGGTCTGCAACAGGTGGCATTGAAACCAACAAGAGGGAAAAACATACGCTGTTATGGATGTGTCCATCCATGAAGATCAGTAAGAGTAGTCCCACAAGCAAATTAAAGAAAATCTCTGCACAGTTCACATGAAGAAAAAGTCCACCCTTCACAGTGAAGATACCATGCATCCTACTGTGTGGTACTACCACTGTGCTAAATAGGGTGGACTTTGAACACAGCTATCAACTCTAAATTGGACAACTTTGAGGCACTGTGGATTCAGCAGCTGCGAATTATTTTTAATGATAGTCTATAATTTCATGGCCCAGCATACCCCTCATTACTTACACCATCAATCTGGGAAATCAATGAAGTGTGTTGGACAGCATGCCAGAAGTGGCATCACACATCCCTAAAAATGAGGTATGACCTGAAGAATCTATAGCACAGGACAACTTGCAAGCCAAACAGTAAAAGCAACAAGCAATAGATGCAACCAATCGATCAGATCTAAGCTAAATAGTCCTGTCACATCCAGTCATGAATAGTGGTTGGCAATTTAAAACTCACTGGAGTAGGAGGTTATCCCTATCGCAAATTATGGGGGGAGCACAGCACTTCGGTGCAAAAGACAACACTGAAGTATTTGTTTTCGTCTACAGCCATAAGTGCCAAGTCGATGATCACAAATGCCAGTGTTCAGCCTATTCAATTCCGTACATCATAAGAAATAGCTGAAGGCACTGGATATGGTTCCTGAAAATATTCAGCAATAGCACTAAACATTTGTATTCCAGCACTAACAATCTCCCATTGAAGCTATTCCAGTACAACTGCATCAGTGACATCTATCCAACAATGTGGGAAATTGCCTAGGTATGTCCTGTTCCCAAAACACAGGCAAACCCAACCCAGCCAATTACTGCCCATCAGCCTACTCTCACTGATCAGTAAAGTGATGGAAGGGGTCATTGACAGTGTAGTCAACTAGTACTTGCAGAAGGAATAACCTGCTCACTGACAGGCAGTTTAGGTTCTGCCAGAGTCACTCAGCTCCTGATACCCTTGGTCCAAATATTGACAAAAGAGCTGAACTTCAAAGATGAGGTGAAACTGACTGCCCTTGACATCAGAGCAGCGAATGTCGCACAAGGCCCTAGCAAAATTGGAGTCAGTGGGAATCAGGGGGGTAACTCTCTGCTGGTTGAATTTATACCTGACACAAAGGAAATTGATTGTGGTTTTTGAAGGTTAATTAACTCAACCCTTTGATTTAACTACAGGAGATCCTCGCAGTTGTGTCCTAAACCCAGATGTCTTCAACCTGTATTAATAACATTCCTTCCATCATAATGTCAGAATTAGGGATTATCACTGATGGTTGCATAATGTTCAGCATCACTCGCTACATCTCGGATTCTGAAGCAGTCCATGTTCACAAACATCACGAACTGGACAACATTCAGGCTTGTGATCGTAAGTGGCAAGTAATATTTGTGGCACACAGCTGCCATTTAATGACTATCGCCAATAAGAACAATCAGACCATCACCCCTTGAAGTTCAATGGCAATATCATTGCCGAATAACC